GAGAAGAGAATATAATCAAAGAAATTTCATACAAAAACGTACTTTCGTCGACGACGAGTTACTCGTTCCTTTTTATATGTTCCTGGAAATCTGTCGTTTGAAAAATCCAATGTATTTGTTTTATTTATGCTGGATGATATTCGCTAAAATATAATCAAGTCGAAAATAAAATCGCCTGCACATAATGTATGTCTCGAACTTTTAGTTTTGTCTTAAATGACTTACCTGGATATTATCCGGCATTACTCGACTAGTACGTTGATGTGACAATCGTTGTACGATGACATTAGTACGTTTGACATTCTTAAATATGAGAGATTTCTTTTAGAATATGAACAACATATGTTGTTGATTATAAATTTATAAGAAAGTTACTTACATTATTTGTACATCCATATGGTTGAATTTCAATGTTTGTTTGATTATCTGTAGATTCATAGGATATATTCTATTATTTTCAAAAGTAGTAAAAATTCTCAAAATAATTCTATTAATTTACCCTTCCAAATTCATTATTCAACTGTATTTTACTAATACGAGTTACTTTAGCCATTGTCGATGTGTAATTTTCTATTTTTCTATTGAATGAATATTTCATTTCATGAAAATTGCATTAACAAAATCATATACACATCATACCTTTATAATAATAATAATAATAAAGGAATCTTGTTAAATGCAATCTTATATGAAACAATTGAAATAATACATGCGTACAAATAACTCATTTGAAGTGAATGAATAAAATATTATTCTCAATTTCGATTTTTAATTACTTTTTTTCGAAGCAGACAAAATCGATGAAAATAGGCAGTATTGTTTGTTTAATGTTGAATTATATAGTTATGCGTTTGTAAAATTATTTCATTAGAAATGACAAATATAAATAATATTTTCATATTTTGTCTCTTTTCAATAATCAAAGGTAAAGTCTTTATTACTCAGTAAAACTATACAAACATTTTTGTGAAACACGATCTAAAAGGAGTGTTGAAGTGTTTAAGAGTAGAAAATTAACCACCCCTCGCCCCCCCCCCCCACAGACCGTGACCGACAGAATTTTAAAAACCATCGCAGACCGTGACCGACAGGACTTCAAAGACCATCACAGACCGTGACCGACAAAGCATCATGGAACTTGATCGGCAGGCCTACGAGGACTATCAGGAACTTTGACAGATGTAACGGTGAAACAACATTAATTACAATAGGCATGCTTTAAAGTCATAAATATAAGCTATGTTTCCCATAAGCAACACCAGTTACATCGTGTTTCACATTTTTGATCCCAAAGGGATTGCGCTGAAAGCTTTTTATAATTAATTCCTACTTCTGCCAATTATTTTCTCTAATATCATTTAATCACAGATGTTCGGTGTAACTCCCGCGTTTTAAAATAATTCATAGATAAACATTACTATTGAGGATGAGCAAGGATGTGGATAAGCAAGAGATCCTTACATGTGAATCAATTATAAGTTGTTTTCATCATCAAATAAAAACAAATCATATAAAACTATAAAAATAAACAAAGCTGGATATGGCTGTTTCTTCTTTCGTACATCCACATCCTCAAGATAGTTGCAGCATTCATTACTTCAAAATAATACTTTCCATGGCAGACTTGATACACACTTTTTCCTGTCAAAAACTCGAATACTTCCATCAGTAACAATGGAAGACAATGGATGTGAATTAAATATAGCACAGGAGTCACATTCACCAAGCAACTATTCAATAATAGAATAAGATCTTTTCTATGATTTAAATTAATCCCGATCTTGAAGTTGAAAGGTGCAGATAAGAGATGAAAAGAATAACCTTCCCCGCATCTTAAAAATGACCGTTAAATTCCAAATATTATCTAAATCTTGTTTGACAAGAGAAAATTCTTTTCTTATGTTTGAGTTTAATTCAACATATTGAGTAAGAATAAATTAACATTAAATGAAAGATTATTTCCAGCAACAAAGATATTTTCTCCAAAGTAAAACGAAGACGAACAACTTTTCAACTAATTTTTTCCTCTTCAATTTTAGTTATATTTGAAAGTGCTACGGATTGTTTAACATGAATTAGAAACATTTGATTTGTACAATTGAAGATGAACAAAAGAAAAATGAATAAAATAATGAATTTCTGGCAGATGAACATCGTTTTTATGAATTGATGGTGGTACATTTTCTGTAAATTGGAAACGAAATGGCCAACTATGTTTACCATATGGTACTGTAAATTGACCTCCGTTGTCAAGTGAATGAATCAGAATTTTTTTATTAACAAATATTTCTTTCGATGTAGTTTCCAATTCAGTTTTATCGTCATTTTTAAAAATGGATCAATAATTCCACCAATTAATTCGCTCTCGATACGTTCCAATTGAAAATCTCTATTATTCGTATTAATAAAATCAGAAATAGTTTTACCGACCTAAATTTTATTTGTTTGATAATATTTGGAGTAAGAATTATGAATCAATACAGAAAAACGACGAATATATTACTTATATCTACCGATTGTCAAATGTGACCTTTATGTAGAATAATATTTTTCTTAAAAAAAAACAATTATTATCCCATGGGAGACATGACTCATCCCATGCAGAACCCTGATTTATAAATATGTCGGATTTGTATTAAGAATAATAATTCAAATCTTCATACTGTTACTAACGACATCTGATAGATAATTTTGATCATTGGTTACTTATAGTCTTCACTTATTTTCTAGTTGTATACGTGTTTTTCTCATCTAGGACTTTGATTATCTAACGTTGTATCGAACATTTAAAACATTAAGGACATTAGAAGTTATTTCTACATTTATTATAATTCATAAGAAAGTAAAACGAATCTTTCGAGGCATATATATAAGCTCTTACAGCATAGCAAAAAAAAATAGTTAGTAATCATTTCAAGAATTCTTTCTCGATTAAAATAAAGGTAAAAAATATATTCTTTTAATAGTTTTATTTATACTTTATTATGTTTATAGATATCAACAAAATACCATATGAATGAAAATATTTAATAAAATAAAAGAATTATATTTTCTTTTCTAGAGAATGACAGCACTTAGTGTTGACACAGAAGAACAAGTATGGAATAATTATAATCTATTTACATCAACAAAAGAAACTACCAATGAAAAAATAATTAAATTTCAAGGAAATATTCCTGAATGGTTAAAAGGTAATCTATATCGTAATGGTCCAGGAGCACATGAAATAAATGATGATCCAAAAACAACTTTCAATCATGCATTTGATGGATTTGCTTTTATTCAAAAATATAATATTGATGGTTCATCACAAACAGTTGGTTTTCGTAGTACATTTGTTAAATCACGTACATATACTGAATCAATTAAAAATGGTTCTTTAAAAACACGACAATTCGGTACAGATCCATGTAAATCAATTCTTGGTCGATTTCAAAATTTATTTTTCGGTCGAGATTCAACTACACATACAGATGATACAGGTGTTACAGTTCAAATGGTACAAAATGAATTATTAGCACTTACAGAAACAACAACAGGTAATATTCTTGATCCAGATACACTTGAACATCTTGGTGCACTTGTAACTTTACCATATGGTCGACCAAAAGATTCTCCAATCATATCAATGGCAACAGCTCATGTTATGTATGATAATAAACGAAAAATGACAGTTGGTTATGGTAATAGAATGACAAACAAAGGAAATTTTCTTGATGTTGTTTTTATACCAGATGATATATCAGATGAAGTTCCTAAAGGTATTTTTGAATTCATTGAGAAATTAATATTATAATTTTTTTTGTTTTTAAGTTGATGAAAGTGATATGGATGAATTAATATCTCGTAGTCGTTATTTACTTTATTTAACAGAGAATATAAGTGAACGTGGTAAAAATTATAATCGTCGTATTAAAGCAACAACAAAATCATTTCGTTTTCCATGTGATCATGTATGTTATATGCATTCAGCATCAATAAGTGAAAATTATTTAATTTTAACGGAAATTCCATATCATTTTACTAAATTTTATGGTCTTTGGTATAGTGTTACTGGTGGTTCAGTAACACAAATGTTTAAATGGAATGGTGGATCAATGCCAACTTATTTTCGTATTATTAGTTTAGATACAGGTGAACAAATTGCATATATTCCTGGACCAGCATTTTTTCAGTTTCATCATATTAATTCTTATGAACATGAAAATAATAAAAAGAAAATTACTGTTGATATTTGTGCATTTGATGATCCACGAATTATTGATGAATTTACATTAAATAATTTACGTGAAAATATATTTCCATCAGGTGCTGGTTATGTTCGACGATTTGAAGTTGATTTAGATGCTAATACATGTACTGAACCAAATATGAATGCAAGAGAACCTGAAGGAATTCATGCTTATAGTCACGCACATAGTCTTATACCAATTCAATTTGAATTACCACGTATTAATCCAAATTTTACTGGAAAAAAATATCAATATGTTTATGCTGTACGAGCACCACCAGGTCGAATATTTGATGGAATAATTAAATTAGATGTTCAAACAAAAGAAGTCGTAGGTGTATGGGAAGAACCATGTACATCACCGAGTGAACCAATTTTTGTTCCAAGATCTAACGATGAAGATAGTAAAGAAGATGATGGTGTTATATTATCAGTTGTATTAGAACAAAAAGCTAAGCGATCATTTTTAATTGTACTTGATGGTGTTACATTCAAAGAACTTGCTCGTGCTTATCTTCCAGTGCATATACCTTTATCATTTCATGGCAATTTTTATTAACTAGATACTCTCTATTTTATCACTACCTTGTTTTAGTTTTTGTATACCGATAAAATAAACTTAAAAAGTATGATTATAATCGGGATATTATTTATTAATATTGGGACATAAATTGATTTAGATAAATAGAAAATTAATTCGAGCCCATTGAAGTATATTCATTCTAAAATATTATTACAATGCCGAATGATTTAAGAAAATTGGTACTTTTTGCATATGTAGTCATAAAACGATATACATTCGATCAGTTATGATAAAAGTCAACCAGTCATACTTGACAATAAGTATCATATCTTTGAAAGTAATCGCCATAAAATACCGTCAATAATTTTATGTAAATCACATGCTTTCGAAAAGACGGGCAATGTTCGTACTTCTACCTTTGTATCTTTAGACTGAGATTCCGTAGTACACATCTAAAGACAAGAGATAGTCTGTTTATTTGTTTTACAAATTCTTTCGATCGATAGATAACATTTCGTTTCTTCGTTTATTCGAGGGCATCGAAATGTACTTGCGCGTTCTGTCTTTCTCTTTGATGTATATCTCCTTTGATATTTTTTTTGCTTGAATATGTATATCTGAATATCTACGTCTTGGGTTGCTGTTTAAAAATAAGAAATAAAAATATTTTGTCATCTTGCAGACAGAGTTCAAAAAGAAAGGCAAGGATTGACAATCATTCTAATAATTAAATCTATATCGAATAAATGATATATTAATATATGAATAGGATAAAATAAGTTGAGAGTGCGAGGATGCAACTAAAACATTCACATCCACTCCTTCTAACTTATTTATGTTAAATCAAATAAACCAACGTACGTTTAGACGAACAATAAAAATTTCACATTAGTTACGATGAACTTATTATTGCTCCGTTTAAAAAAGAATTTTTGAGTATAGTTCTCAATTGAATCTAGAAAGATATGAAAGACGGTTATACAAAATATTTTAATATCTTCCTAGTCAATTATTACTATAGTCTTCAAAGAATTTAACAACAAAAATAACAAATAAAAATTCATTAATTATCAGAACATGGTGATCCTTTACAAGACGGATAAAATAAATGGCATGGATCAGTATTTGTTCCAGGTATTTGTGCTGGCATATCCGTTGCATAAAGACCAAGAATAACATGCCAAAGATGTTCAAAACTCCCACCAAACCATTTTATACCTTTTTTTCCTGGTGTTTCACGATCAAGTTCAGTTGTACAGTATGGTTGTAAACTGGCACGATAAAGTGATGCCCATTGTTTATATGTATAATGATGAATACGTTGTTTTGTTACATAAAATTGTGCACAACATATAGCTGTAACAACATTATCATCTCTAGGTGTTTTACCTTCTGGATTAAGTTGAGCTCTGCCATTAAAGCCAAATAAATGTAATAAACGAACAGCACATTTATACATTAATCCTATATTATCAGTAGGATCACGTGGCCAAAATGACCATGGTCGTTCAATATTCCAAAAAAAATTGATACTTGCATAATGAACATCATCACGAATACATTGAACTGTTTCAATTGGATAGGGTGAATGAACATGTACATCACCTTGAATAAATAACATTTTATCAGGTAAATCATGATAATATTCATAGATAAATTTTAAATAGAGACCAGCTTCTTCATGAACATTAGCACAATATGGCCAATCATATGGATATGTAGAATTTGGATCAATACGTTGATATAAATGAACATGATATGATGGTAATGGATTATTAGTTAAATTAAGTCCTTCACGTAACCAAAGAGGCCAACTTGAACGATTATACCAATCAATTTCTTTCCATATAGCTGGTATAACAACAAGTTGATTTGTTTTCCATTTACTTGGCTTTAATGTTGAAATATTAATTGAAATTGGAAGGCTTGTTTGTAATACAGGTATTACACTTTCTTCGATTTTTCTATTACAACTAAAGTTAATCTCTAACATACCAATTAGTATTGTACAGATAATGATTAAAATAATCGTACTAAATAAATAGAATAATATTAAGAATTTATTTCTCTTTAGTTTTGTTTTTCATTCCAATCCTATAAATAATCTACTTACCGTTTCTTTATTCGAATAAAGATTGATCGAAACATTATATCTACAATATGATAATGATATAGTTAAGTCAATAATTTTTTCTTAAAATTTCTTAGATGATAATGAAGATTCATAGTATTTAAATATTGCCTCTAAGGACTTGCGAAGAACTTCGAAATCCGATTATCATCTATTAATTCTTAAAATTCTTTTCTTGTCAAAAGCTTCCTTGTCATTTTTATTTTCCAACTTCGCACAACGATAAACAGAAAACTCAAAAACTAATATCAATATGACTTTTTAATTTCGATTTATTCAATCGTCTTTTATCCAATTTCATACCGTGATCCTCACTGAAATGTATGAGAGATCGTCGATTCTCATTAAAATATTTCAATATTAAAAGATTTAACTCCTCAGCTTCTTAATTGTCTTGCAACACATAATAAGAAAAATCACGATGATGAAAAGATTTAATTTATTTGTACTAAATTTCGGCATCTGATTGACTTAACAATAGTAGTAAACTAAAATGAAAAGACTTTCCTCTACAAACGACGATCATTTTACCTTTTTTACCATCAGTATTAACAAGTTTTATCGTAAAAAAAAGTATAAATTGTTAAAAAAAAATAAATACCGATTTTTTTCTTAATTCTTCACTTTAGAAAGAAAAAAAGACGGTAAAAATACAAAGAATAGAATGAAACATCTACCACATGTTTCATACTTCTTCTAACTGTATTCGATTAACATTCGACTTTCATTCATATTTTTTTTCGATTCATTCAAATCATCTAAATCCTTTGTTGCAGTATCATCTAATGAAATTAATGAATAAAAAATTTTATTATTAAATAAAGCTTTTAAATTTGATTAATTGTTACTCTCCTAGATACTCCGATATTAGTGTATTACAAGTTCTTGAGGGTGTGGGTATGGGTGTGTAAATGGCCTTTCAACACCCACACCCAATAAATGATTTATTATCATAAATAACATTTAACAAAGTTAGAATAATAAGTAACACTTTATGTTTATTCTTCTTCTTAATTATAATATAAAATCATTTATTTTGAATAAAAATTGATAATACTCATTCAATTATCTAATTTTTAAGATAATATTTCAATAAATAAAATTCATTTATCATAAAATACTAAATATTAAATAGATTTTTAGATCAACTATAAAAACGATTTAATATTGTTATACAGTTTATTTTTGTATATATTGACAAAAGTAACATATTTGTTCCCTTTTTTTTTTCTTTCATAATTTCGAAAAAGAAAAATATTGTCATTGAGATAGAGAAGGTATACTATAATTATGTTTTTCTCTTTTTCTTTCTTTTTTTGCGCACTTATACATATTTCTCTTCGAAAGAAAAAAACATCACTTCTTTTTTTCTAGATTTTACCTTGGGATCAACACATGTCATTGTCAGTAAAACGAAATGTTAATGACGATTTTTTTCCATCAAAACATAAGACTGTTAATTTATCTAAAAGTAATTATTTTTTTATTAAAATTTGAAAAGTATTTTCAAAAAAAAAATTCTATTTTTAGTTTCAATATTTACAACATTACCAAATGAATTAATCATAATAATATTTAATTATTTAAAACCAATTGATATTCTTTATTCTTTTTCAAATCTCAATTCTCGTTTTACTTATTTAATTCATAAATATAAACAAAATATTAATCTATGCAATCTTTTATCTAATGATAAACAACATTTTCAAGAAATTCTGAAATTAATCAATAAAGATATAATTTCATTAAAAATTGATCAATTTATATTTGATAATAATAATAATCTATTTCAAGAATTTCCTTTATTAAAACATTTAATCATTTCAAATATCGATTCAAAATTTGCTAAAAAACTTATTTTATTAAATTCTCAGTTTAAATATCTCGAAACATTAGAATTGAAAACAAATCGAACTGATCTTTGGCTAAATCCATGGGTAAATTATTATTTTTTGAAATTTTAGAATAGGGATGTAAGAATACCAATACGGTATTGATATTCAAGTATTCCTTGTCCGAATTCGCTCTACGACTTGTGTTGTCTCTAAAAATGGTTGTGTTAGATTTAGAATTCAATTCTCTATCGAATGACAGTATATCCGAGGGGATTATTAAAAGAAAAAAAATCGGCACATCAACACTTATATTCTTACCTTCGGTACCATCTTGAGGATGGGCGTGGGTGTATCTTTTCCTTACTTACACTTGCATACATATCTTCACCCTAGGTTCTAACTCTGATTGGTATTGTTACATTCCTAATTTTCAATACATATTTTTATTTTAATTAGGCTAATGGACATGATTATGAAATTCCAGATGATTTTCATTTTCCTGTTTTTGATAAAGATTCTTTAATAGAAGAATATTTAATTCATATTCGATGTTCATCATTTACTAAAGATATAATTTCAAAATTTTCTCCAACATTTAATTTAGTAAAAATAGAAATTACTTTAACAGATGATGAAGATTTATTTATTCTTTTTAATTATATACCAAGTATAAAAATATTTAAATGTCAATTAGATGCTCATCTAAGAGAAGGAAAATCAAATGTTAAATTATTATATTTAGAAGAATTTACATTAATAAATACAAAATTTGAAAGTTATTTATTAATAATTAATTCATTTCTTCAAGATTGTCAATCTTTAAATTTTTTATCATTAAATTTAAGTTTGAATTGGGAAAATTTAAATGGAAATATTCTTTATGAAATAATATTAAAATATTTAATTAATCTTAAATCATTTCAATTTTGTTTTAAAACTAATCAACTTAATGATCTTATTTCAAAATTTCAAACAGATTCTCAATTTAAAGATAACAATTGCAAGGTTGGCTATTATGAAAATTCTTATATCTTTTCTTTACCATATCCTTATTCACATTTTCAACCAATTATTACAGAAATATCTTTAAACACAACAATATCAATATCATCAGATTTATTTCATAATGTTCGATCGATTAACATCAAAATAAATAGAAATAATAATAATAATTTAATTTCTTTATTAAAATTTGTTCAAACTTATTTTAAGAAAGTAATTAATTTACATATTGAAATAAGAGATGACGTATGGCCACCAAATTCGCTTAATTTAACAATTGATACAGGTCTGTTAAAAATATTTCTTTTATTTAATATATCGAACTGAATTTCTTTTCCAGATAATTTATGTTTATCAAATATTAGAAGATTTGCATTTATGGGAAATTGTTATGATTTAAAACCATTATTATTGATATTTCCAAATTTACATGAATTAGATATTAATCATTATAGTGTTTGGGAAAATTTTAATGATTATTTATTTAAAAATAATGGTGATAAAGAACTTTTACAAATGAAATATTTACGTACTGTAGGAATATATGATGATAATACATGGCAAGGTGTTGAAAGATATGAAGATAGAGAATTTCAAAATGAGTTTATTAAACATTGTCCAAATATTAATCTCTGCTGGACTTGGCCTCTTACTGATGATGATGATGAGGAAGAGGAGGAGGACGACAACGACGATGAAGAATAAACTTACTCTCACCGATCCATTTAAAATTTGTGAATAATTCTGAGATATGGCAAAGTTTGACCAAAACGATAAACAATGTATTGAGGATATTGAAAAGCAGTTCCTCTCACTGAGTGGAAACCTTTCGATGCTGCAATTTATTTATTATCCGCTTGTCCTTGTATAGATTTTTTACCCAATGTAGGGTGAGGGTGTGGGCGAATGGATTTGGGTGTGAAGGTGCGTGATGAAAGGCCATTTATCCACCCACACCCTTATTTGATAATATAGATCTTCTATGCTTAGTTCAACGATGTAAAACTAATAATCTACAAAAAGCGTAACCAAAATTTTGAAATTTAGTTGGAGTAAACATCTTATACAACTCTTATTTTTTTTTCTATTATAGGAAATATCACAAAAGAATGACAAATAGTTTTTATAGTCATACTCATACTTTTGAGAGTAAATCGGAATTCATATTTATTTACATCGGTTTCTTTTTGATTTTTGAACATTTTCTTTGCATATGGCGAATTCATTAGGCTAAATTGTAATCGAACAAAATGAACTTTTTTTAACAATGTTATTAATATAAATCAATACGACTGTTAGTAATTTGTATGCATGTAACATATCAATAGATAAGTTCAACTATTAGCTTTTTCTTGACCTTCCATCAATGAATATATTAACATAGCATTTGTCATTTGAGAACACTCTTTACGCATATGAGTTGGAATACTATCTGGCACAATTCTGTTAGAACAATGACTTTTCAGCTAAAACAGTCAAAATCTGTTTGAGTGTAATAATGAAATGAAAATTTTAGTACATATATACGTAAATGTATTTTGAGTTTATTTCTGCTTGTATATATTAAAGCTTCAACTATAAGACAAACAATAAGCATATATAACATAAAAATTGTTGACTTCTATTTTGTTTCGATTGTTTCCTCAACATCATCTAATATAAGTGTAAGTTCAGTTAGTTCAACAAGTGAATCAATATTATAAACATGAGTACTAAAAGTTTGTATATGGGTTATAGACGTAGTCAAAGCTACAAGCCAGTATATGATATTATGAAAATGTTTAACAGCTTCATACCAACCATATCTATAAATAAGATATTTCCATGTAACTTCTGCATATTTATTTTGAATATGAAATAGTGTAGAAGAATTGCTTGAATCTATTGAAATATCTGGAGAATATAAATAAATAGTTTTTGATAAAGCAAATAATGAAAGTGCTATTTTATATATTATAATATCTGGATTAATAAATTTCATTGTCCATAGAGTAAGAGAGATTCCACGCTTGTCAAACATTGCAGCCATAATTTTCAAAAAAGAATCTAGACTAAATAAACCAAAATGATGTGCAATAAATGCACCAGCCATGCAAGATACATTATCTGCAGCATTACGAAGTAAAATGGAACGATCAGAAAATGATAATTTACAAATATCATCATTCAAACGAAGATATCTTCCTGTTGCTTCATAAATAGATAATAAATAATTTTCTACAAGTCTTTCATATGTCACATTTATTGGCTGTGAAGAATTATGTGTATCTACTAAAGATTTACCAAGTATTAAAAGTTGAGATTCGTCAAAAGTATTATATAAATTTGAAAGAAGTGTCCATTGACTAGTAGTCAATAATGAATGATCTGGTTCTAAAGAGTTTAATATTGATAACTAAAAATATAAATAAGAAAAATATTTCGTACATTTATATTATTTTACTTTTTCTAATTGATATCGTGGTTCTACTTTAACTAATGATTTTGTTTTTGATTTCTTCGGTCTTGGTGGTCGAAATTTGTCAGTAGACATTCCATATTGAAAACATTTCTTAAGTCGACATGATGTACACATATGATGATTATCTCGTTTTATTTCACAATTGTCACCAAAATTACATTTAAATGTTTTCTAAATCATACGAATAATTTTTATTTTAAAAGTTAGAAAAAAACTAATCAAAGCTAACTTGTTCAATATTAGCAGTTCGTTTAAAAAACATTTTACATGAACTACATGAAATAGCGCCAAAATTTGCGTATTGCGCAGGAGCGCCACATATTCGACACTCTGATAAATTTTGTTTTTTTGTTAATGGCTGAGTTTTAATTGTCAATGGAAGATTTGACGTTGTATTTGTAGTTAACATTTTTATTTGCACTCTAAAGATATGATATGATAGCTAGGAAAAAAAGCACGACTTGTTTATATAAAAAAATGAAAATATTATTAATGCGACGTGCTAATACCCTTACATTCTACACAGAATGAACAAATGTTTGTTTCATCCCCTGATTTGTTTTTTGCAGAAAAGACAAAAATACTATTTTTTACTTTCTTCTTTTATTTTCTCTTCGTCTTTCTCAAGTTTTGCATTTTGTATATCGGAAATGTCTATTTACTATCAGTAGACAACGCTGTAGATGAATTGGTCAGATTCACTCTATAACGTCATTTTCTTATATAAATTTATTAAAGACAGTAATAGAAAATATAATTAAAATATTATTAGCGACTATAAAACTTAATTTGCAAATTAGATATTATACATCTAGACAATATATTTATGAATAATACTCTTTTATACTTATGAATATCACTTATGAAATTAGAAGATTACAACAAATTGATATAGTCATATAAACAATATTTATACCATAGGCGGCGGAGCGTCTTGAATGTAGGTGAGGCTTATAGTATTTTCTTCTTGTCATCCGTTGAACTACGATGGTGAAAATTTTATTAGAGCTGCAGCATCAAAAAAAAGCTGTTTTATTAAGTTCAATAAATCACAACGATCAATGAATAAAATATGGTTATGACTAAAAAGAATCAAAGAACCGTTTTCTCTGTTCGTTTCTTGGTGCAAACGCAGAAAAAATATTGGTTAAGCCGATAGAATCCATCTTCTCCTTGTAAATGTGAGTCAGAAGTACTCTATTCAAACGAGTATATGTCATACGAAGGAAAGAGAATCACAAGGGCAGTGCAACGAGGAATAAATACGACTACCTAACACTTCTAAATATTCACAATCTCAATCTATTATTCTCTCTTGTGAAATCGAAGCGTAACTGATATCTGACTGCAATCATGTCAATTCGACGTCAAGACAATCACTACGAACAGCACACATCAAAGAAAAGTATACTTTCTGTGTCTGTGAAAGGACAGTAGCGGCGACAAGTGAATAAGTGGCATGAAAATTATGGATTATCGTGGCGTGTCAAGTTTAAAATTAAGCGAGGCTCAAGTCTCTGAGCCTCATAAACTCCGCCACCCTTGATTCATTTAGAAGTGAACAATGTTATTTCAATTAAAAAAAAAAAGAATACGTTTCTATAATTTTTTTAATAAGATTTTGAAAAATGAAATAAAAGACGAGTGTCATTAAATTCATATGTTTGTTTATCATCAATGAATATTGTTTGACCATTTTTGATAGTTTTCCTTTTGTCGTTCCATTTCTCGATTTGTCAAATCCCATACATTAATTTCATTTGTCATAGCGTATGGAAATGGTCCATACTCAGGAGTAACTGTTATCCATGTTCTATTTTTTTGTGCATCCCATATCATTTCCCACCATTTTTGCATTTGTTCACATTCTTCTTTTGCTTC